CCCACATTCCCGCAGTGCCACTCCTCCGGCCTGGACTGCTGCAATGACCTTGCCCTTCCGCATCCCCCTTCAGTGCTGGGGGGCCCTCTCACGGTCCTCCCCAAACCACTCCTGGGCCGCGCCCCTGCCCCAGGCTCCCCACGCCTCAGTGAGCCAGGCCCCTCCTCCTGGCCACCTGCCAGCCTCAGCCAGAGTGTCTGCCTCACAGTCTGGTGTGGCTGCCACTCACCATTCCAGGTGGTCAGGTTTCAGTGAATTGAAGTCAAACACACTTCAACGTGCCGGTCCTCAGCCGCACCAGCCACATTTCAAGTCCTCGTGGGCCACGGGAGGCTAGTGCCTTCCATATCAGACAGCACAGATAGAGGACATTTCCACCATCCGGAACGTTCTATGGGACAGCGCTGACTCAAGGATCTGACGAGGATGGCTGGATGTGCCGGCGAGCCTCATGCTCGTTCTCAGCATGTTCACCCAGGGGGTTGGAGTGGTGGGGTGCTCTGGAAACAGCCTCCGGGTTGTGTGGAAGCCAGCCCCGTGCAGGCATCAGGGCCAGAAGCCCTGGCTGATATCCCAGTCTGGAGGCCAGAAGTCCGAGACCAAGGTGTCAGTGGGCTGGGTCCTCCGGCCGTGAGAGAGGGTCTATCCCGTGTCCCTCCCAGCTTGTGAGGATCGTCTGCGGTCCTTGGTCCCTTACCTTGTGGCTCCATCACCCCAGCTCTGCCTCTGTTGTCACATGGCCTCTCCTTGTGTGTCTCTCGTCTTCTGTCTCGGAAGGACACCTGTCATTGGATTAAGGACATCATCCTTATCCAGGATGATGTCATCTCAAGATCCTTATCTTATGAATGAGTTTCCTGGGGTGGCCATAACAGAAGACCAGAGACAAGGGGCTTAAACAGCAGACACTTATTCTCTCCCAGGGCTGGAGGCCGCAAGTCTGAGACCAAGGTGCTGGCAGGGTTTGGTCCTCCTGAGGCCTCTCTCCTTGCTTTGTAGATGGCCACCTCTTGCTGTCTCTTCAGATGATGGCTCTTCCTCTTCCTGTAAGGACAGCAGTCCTAGTGGATTAAGTCCACCCTCACAGCCTCCTTTTAACTGAATCACCTGTTTAAAAACCCTATCTCCAAGTATGGTTAGTTTTGAGGTACTAGGGGTTGGGAGACTTTTATATAGAATTTTCCTTTTGTTGGGGAGACACAATTCAGCCCATCACACCTCAGTTATATCTGCAAAGACCCTTCTTCCAAATAAGGTCACATTCTGAGATTCCTGGTGGACATATCTTTTAGGGGTCATGATACAGCCCACTACACTCTTTTTTTTTTTTTTTTTTTTTTTTTTT